TGGCTTGATAAGCAGTGTATAGGTCTGTGCCTGAGATCGGAACCTGTGAAGCATGGGCCGCTGAAGTGGAGTGTGTGAACTTAACTGCTACGCCCCTGGGCTGGCCCCGCCTTTTTAGTTAATTTTAAGGGTATTTTATCTACTTTATTGTTATTGTGAATGAGATCTTTTTTATCACATGTTATTTAAAAATGATACTTATTAATTTTATTAAGAGAAGAGTAGCTATGTCCATTGTAGAAAAAATTAAAATCCTTTATAGTTTGCACTATTCAGACAAAAACACTGCCCTTTTGGTCCTTATCGTTCCTTTGTATGTATACATAGATATCTTTTACAATAGTACATGCTGTATGTCTAGTTTAGTAACCGAATTTTCAGTCATTAGTAAATCTTGAATATCTTTCTATGCCGTTAAATATTCTTTGGCAAGATTATTTTACTGGCTGCATTGTATGAATGGATGATGATTTATTTAACCAGTCTCCAGTTTTTTGGGAATTTAACATATCTCCAAAGGCTTGGAATTAGTAACAATATAATCCTTCCCTAAAGAATGACTTCATGAAAATGCTTATGGAAATTAAATGTCTATTATGTATGTATGTCTAATATGTGTGTATATTGTGTATGTTGTAAGCATGTTGTTTTTCTAAGATATTTTCCATTTAATTTTGTTTATAGTGCATTTGGTACATCCACATCCTTTTTTTTATTATTTTTTTCTCCATTAATTTAAGGGTTTTTTTCAGGTTGCTTAAAATTTTTTTCTTAAATTAATCAACTTTATTTTTTAGAGCAGTTTTATGTTCACAGCAAAATTGAGCAGAAAGTGCAGAATTTGCATATACCCCTTGCCACCACATATGCACACCTTCCTCCACTGTCAACATCTTGCACCACAGTGGTACATTTGTTATGACTGATGAATCTGCATCGACACATTGTCTCCCATAGTCCATACTTTACATTAGGGTTCACTCTTGGTGTTGTATATTCTGTGGGTTTGGACAAATGTATAATGACATTGCACGTCTTACAGAATAGTTTCACTGCCCTAAAATCCTCTCTGCTCCACCTGTTCATCCCTCCCTCTCCTGCAACCCCTGGAAACCACCAATATTTTTACTGTCTCCCTGTTTTGCCTTTCCCAAAATGTCATGTGGTTGGAATCATACAGTATGTAGCCTTTTCAGATTGGCTTCTTTCACTTAGCAATATGCATTTAAGTTTCCTCATCTTTTCATGCCTTGATAGCTCATCTGTTTTTTAGCACTGAATAATACTCCATTATCTGGATGGACCCCAGTTTATTTTTCCATTCACTTGCTAGAGGATGTCTTGGTTACTTCCAAGTTTTGGCAGTTATGAATAAAGCTGCTCTAAATATCTGTGTGCAGGTTTTTATGTGGACAAAAGTTTTCAGCTACTCTTGGTAAATACCAAGGAGCACAATGGCTGGATCATATGGTAAGAGTATGTTTAGTTTTGCAAGAAACCACCGAACTGTCTCCCAAAGTGGCTGTACCATTTTGCATTCCCACCGGCGATGAATGAGAGTCCTGTGGCTCCATATCCTCTCCAGCATTTGGTGGTGTCAATATTCTGGATTTTGGCCATTGTAGTAGGTGTGTAGTAGTTATCTCATCGTTGTTTTAATTTGCACTTCCCTGATGACAGATGATGTGGAGGCTTTTTTCATATCCTTATTTGCCATCTGTACATCTTTGATGAGGGATCTATTAAGGTCTTTAGTCCATTTTTTTTTAAAGATTTTATTTTTTCCTTTTTCTCCCCAAAGCCCCCCAGTCCATAGTTGTATATTCTTCGTTGTGGGTCCTTCTAGTTGTGGCATGTGGGACGCTGCCTCAGCGTGGTTTGATGAGCAGTGCCATGTCCGCGCCCAGGATTCAAACCAACGAAACACTGGGCCGCCTGCAGCGGAGAGCGCGAACTTAACCACTAGGCCACGGGGCCAGCCCCTCTTTAGTCCATTTTTAAATCAGGCTGTTTGTTTTCTTATTGTTGAGTTTTAAGAGTTCTTTATATATTTTGGCTAACAGTCCTTTATCAGATATGTCTTTTGCAAATATTTTCTCCCAATCTGTTGCTTGTCTTCTCATGCTCTTGGCGTTATCTTTCTCAGAGCAGAAGTTCTTATTATAAATGAAGTCCAGCTTATCAGTAGACATACTCTGATGATTCTCAACTAGCAAGAATCTCACTGTTTGTTGATGGTTGTGTTAGTCATTCTTATGCACCACAATGATGTTTATGAAATTAAAGTGCTCTCATGGTCCTTCATAATCGATTTTGTTTTAGAACAGCAGAATTACATGCTTGTGCAAATGCTGCTTATTTGTTGATAATCAGTATTTTTGCTTGAGACATATGAAGATATAGTAGACATCATTTTTAGAAGACATTTTGCCACATGAATGTTGGTATTTTTGAAGTTATTTAGAATCTATATGTACAGAATCTATGTACTGTTTCTAACCTCATTTTAGGATGGTAGCCATGAGTACAAAATTATTTTAGCCACATGTGACTAAATTAAATAAAATTTAAAATTCCCTTCCTCAGTCACACCACGTTGCAGCTGCCCAGAGGAGGCTGCCATATTGGACAGTGAGGATATAGACCATTTTCATTACCACAGAAAGGCTATTGGATGGTGCTGTCCTAGAACATGGGTAGTTTTGCCTCAAAAAAACCATTTTGTGCAATTTCTTATTTTGTAGGAATTACTGAAATAAAATATTAAAATAAAAAAAGGAAGAATAAAATAAACACAGTGAAAGGATTTCTTTCCCTGCTATTATTGTTTGTTTTATTTCTAAGCTATTTGTGATGGATAAAGTAATAGTGTTAACTGTAGCTGAGCCAACTGAGCGTGCTCACTGTCTGCTCAGCTAGATGCAAAACACAGGCGGGAGAGCGGCTGCCCACCTTTGGTCCATCATTCCGTATATCTTCTTGGACATGCAAACAGTGGCGGGCAGTGTTAATCACAGCAGTGAGCAGTAGCTGCTGAAATAACTGTTTTTGCATAAATCTCATCCCTGAAATTAATAACATCTGCTTAAAAGCCTCAATTTTTTTCTTCCCTGGTGTTGGAAGAAGGCTACACCAGAAACACCCATTGGAGAGACAGTACAGTAGAATAAAGGCCTGCACAGTTTTCTCCAAGAGTGGCCACCTCATTCTCTTCCTTTACTGACTTTGTGATTAATGCATAAACTTACTTGATTGCTGTAGAAACGTCAGTGTTTCCTCCAAATTTGTTTTTTTAAAGCCTTCATGTTAATTTCGTCAACATTTAACATAGGCTTATATATGTTTATAATGTGCATTACTTCTGTTTCTTTTTTTTACTTTTTGCTGAGGAAGATTTGTCCTGAGCTAACATCTGTTGCCAATTTTCCTCTATTTTTGCTTGAGGAAGATTAGCCTTGAGCTAACATCTGTGCCAGTCTTCCTCTATTTTGCATGTGGGTCACTTCCTCACTGTGGCTGACGAGTGGTATAGGTTTGTGCCTGGGATCCGAACCTGCAAACCCAGACCACCGAAGCAGAGCATGCCAAACTCAACCACCACACCACAGGGCCGGCCCCTACTTCTGTTTATGCTTAATGGTATAGTGTCAACTCATCCAGAAATAGTTTGAAAATTTCCTTGGAGGGAGAGAGGGAGAAAGCTCCTGTAAAGATAATGTCCTTTATAGTTTAACCTTGATATTGGAAGAATCTATCATTTGCCTGCTATTGATTTCTTTTTTTTTTTTTTAGGTTGCTTGAAGTTTTTGAATGTTGAGAAGGTATATTTGTTAAAACTGCATTTAGATGGTGGGAATTTGTACAAGAAGGATGGTTAATGTAGGATATGAGTAAAAATAGATCCTGATTTGGTGATGTGCATATAAATGTATTTTGAGTCCTTTGACATAAAAGTGTCCAGTTTGCGTGGATAATTCTTATTTAGATCTGTATGTGGAGGCTAACTTAGAGTCTAAGTCAAAATTGTGTTGGGTAGGGTGGGGGAGTTTCCACACTTTACAGACCCCGTGGGTAGCGTACTTATTTCTAAAAAAGAGTAGAGGATGGCTCTAACTATTGCACGTGGTCTGTTAACATGAAAGGGTAAGAGAAGCGCCAGCTGTGAGGAGATCAGCCATCATCTGACTCGCCATTTGCGCCCAAGTTGTAGGCACGACACAGGAGTGTGGTCTGGGCTGCACCCTTCATCAGTCTCTTCTTCCATAGGCATTTACTGAGATCCGGTTAACCCTCTTGAACTTTGCTATTAGAAGCTTCTCTTCTACATGATGCCCTGAAATGAATCAGCAAGCTGATAGAAATTGCGTAAATAGACGCTGCGAAGATACTCAAGGGTATTTAGATAAGGGAGAAATTCACATTAAAGATCATTTTTCCTGTTGAAAAATGTTCTTTCTGTAGAACTGCTACTTGAAAGAATTGTTTTCTAAGACGTCATCTTTATTTGATATGCTTTGGTCATAATTGGGAATGTAGCTGCTGTGATAAAATTATTTAAAAAGAGATACACATGTTGCTATACCTAGAAATCAGAACTCTTGGCTCTTCTTCCTAGGCTTAACATTGATGTTCAATTAAAAGATAAACACATGTTTCACAGATATCTCATAGCTATTATTCAAAGAAGAGAGATCTTTTGTCTTTCAATCTTATAGGAGTTTTATTTCAAATTTTAAAAAATTCTTTATTAGTGATTTAATTGTGTGCTGCAACACCGATATGTTTAAAATATATTTCAGTTTATGTCAGCTTTACTGTGAATTCTGTGCTTTAAAAAATTATCTTTCAGAAATAAAGAGGTAATTAGAATAAACATTGAGATAATTTTTTAAGGTGATCTTTAAAGTCTTAGATCATTGGACACTTTGAAAAAAAGTCTCTGTGATTTGAATGGTAAAGATCGCATTCTGTTCTAAGTAGCTTTCTGGTTGTCATTTCAGCGATGAAGTCTTACACTGCGTATTTCATGCTCCTGTGGAGTGCTGTCGGCATAGCGAAGGCTGCCAAAATCATCATCGTGCCGCCAATAATGTTTGAAAGCCATATGTACATTTTCAAGACGCTCGCCTCGGCCTTGCACGAGCAAGGCCACCAAACGGTGTTCCTGCTCTCCGAAGGCAGAGACATCGCGCCGTCTAATCATTACAGCCTCCAGCGCTACCCAGGGATCTTTAACAGTAGCACCTCGGATGCTTTCCTGCAGTCCAAAATGCGGAATATTTTCTCTGGGAGATTGACAGCAATCGAGCTGTTTGACATACTGGATCACTATACTAAGAACTGTGACATGATGGTTGGCAACCGAGCCCTGATTCAGGGTCTGAAAAAGGAAAAGTTTGACCTGCTCTTGGTGGACCCTAATGACATGTGTGGATTTGTGATAGCTCACCTTTTAGGAGTTAAATATGCTGTATTTTCAACTGGCCTTTGGTATCCTGCTGAGGTGGGTGCTCCGGCCCCCTTAGCTTACGTCCCAGAGTTTAACTCACTCCTCACAGACCACATGAACTTGCTGCAAAGGATGAAAAATACCGGCGTTTACCTCATTTCCAGATTAGGGGTCAGCTTTCTGGTTCTTCCCAAATACGAAAGGATAATGCAGAAGTACAACCTGCTGCCGGAGAAGTCCATGTACGATTTGGTCCACGGGTCCAGCCTGTGGATGCTGTGTACTGATATAGCCCTGGAGTTTCCAAGACCCACTCTGCCTAACGTTGTTTATGTGGGAGGAATCCTGACCAAGCCGGCCAGCCCGCTACCAGAAGTAAGGTTTGCTGAACTTGGTAATCTTTTCTGAATATAAAGGTCAATTTGTCAGTTTTGATTTTTAGAAGAGAGAAGATTGGTTATTGTTGGATAATGAATGCTACTTTAAAGAGTGGTTAAGAAACAGAGCCTACCAAGGTCCCTTTATTTGTGGACGCGCCACTCCTCTGGAACACGTTCCTGCTGTGAGCATTTCTGTAATGCTGACAGGCTGCTCTGCCATACAGTCAATGGACTGGCTGGGAAATAGATTTTTGGTTAAGTAATACCTATAGCATGTGAGAAGAATGCAATTAGATAGTTAAAGTGAGTGAGTGTAAGTGATTTTGCTTTTAATTAAACAGAGGTCCCTCTGTTCTCCCAGGTAGCAGCATCACAGGTCTCTACGTCTAGATTAGGTTCAGTGAACTCAGAGAAGTAGAAACCGCGTGAGTGGAGACTGTTCCTTCCCTGGCCATAACGACTGGACAGTTTGTGTCCAACTATAAAAATGAGGTAATAACTTCCATCAAACTAGAGAGCCAACTAATTTTAAGTTAGTGAGCAAATGTCGTTGTTTTAAAGAAATCATACCCCATTGTGATTTCATTTCAAAGATGGAATTAGTTGCTCTTTAACATAGCCCGTCCAGTCCCTAAGGCAAACCTAAATTCTTCTTGCTGGTTGAGTTGTCAGCGTATCCCTGTGTTCTGTTCTCCATCCTGGTTTGGTTTTATTCGGTGTCTCAGACTCACAGGAGGCGCACTTGTGTATCTGTTGTTGCCGTGGGTTTTCTAACCTCAGGTTCAGTCTGGATTGAATCTCAATGTCTGATGGTGTTTGCTGGGAAGTGTAGGGCCCGTTCTATGATTTTCTCTATTGGAATTCTTTCTACCCTTAAAATTCTGAAAATAGCCACTCAAAGCAACTCTGTTAAATTTTTCATTTCTAGTTCTGGTCATTACATCTTAAGAAATCTGTCAGGGCTTTGATGAAGAGTAAATCCAGATTTTCTCGTAGAGGTACCAGATAAGGACAATGACTGGGCAGAATTTTCTCATGGGGAAGTATTGTGATTGAAATCCACAACATGTAGACTTTCCTAATACGACCATTAGAAGTCTATTTAATCAATAATACCTTGATATTTCTCATGTAACGTGAAAAAATAGAACTTGCCAGGTCTTTGGTCCATTTCAAATAGATTCCACTGGTGGAGGCTCTGCGGGCAGGTGTTCTCTCAACACCAGCTGCAGAGGATGGGGATTAATCTCAGTTCATCTCAACCATTCATGAATTTATCCAAGCCCATTTTGAACCCTTAAGTATTCTCTGCCAGAGTCACTGTGTGATGTATTTCTCCCCTTCCCAAAGGATTTCAGAGGCAGCTTCTAAAAGACTGGGTAAGCAAGCCTGTCTTTTCTGTAACTGCATCTCCATAAGGTTACACAGGTCAGCCGTGTTGCCGCTCCTCCTCACCTTATCCCAGCCAGAGCACTGCCTGCTGTCTGCTCCTGCTGTTTGGGTGCTGTGTCCTTTCTTCAGTCACCTGATTGAAGAAGGAACCAATGATGAAAAGCAACCTTCTGATTGCCGTTTTTTCCCTTCAATGCCTGCACGTTTTTCTTGAGTTGCAGCGACTTGGACTACATAGCATAAGCACAGAATAATATTTTATGCATTGTTTTCTATACTATACCCTTTGTTAAGATACATTACGTGTGAGAATGTTTCTTTTTTCCCCTATAACTCGAGCTTATCTTTTCCCCCATGGGTCCCTCTGTCTATTAGTCTCACGATTTTGTTTTACTTTACAAGCATCTTTTGAGTGGTTTTTGGAACTTCAAATAAGGTTATTACTCAAAATGTTTACTGATTTGCTGTGATTTCTAGTTTGACACTGGCTTGACCTACTTTGTGGGCTTCCCTGTTCTTTTTTCCTATTTGGGGTTTTTGTGATGATTCCTTTGAAAACGTGCCTTTTATTTACAATAATCGCTTTGGCTGTGCCAATTAGTTAGGACACACACACAGAAACATGCACACAGGGCATGTGCTTGGCTGTATGTGGACCTGGATAAGTGTATTATTATCATTGAAAGTCTGTTAGGTTGTAAGTGTGGAGGGCTGTTTTCATTTCAGTGTACCATTTACCAAGTTCTTCAATAGAGAGTATTTTGAAGAATGATGTGTCTTTTTCTTTCAGATCTTCCTTCCCTGGTGAGGTTTTCTATGCCTAGGAACACATGAATTCCTATTGGGATTTCTCTAGTAGATCTGTCTGATATGATAAACTGTTGCGTAGGGTTCTAAAAGTTAATGAGTTTCTCAAATGCCTCTATTATTTACAGGTCGTGGTTGTGACACTAAATAGGGCCCAGCAAGTGGCCGCTTAGAACATGTGATTCACCAATAACAGCTTAATGGTTAACTGCCTTAGTATCTTCCCCTGGGAATGGATTAGGATTTCCAGATGTCTGGAAATGATTTGACAGTGGGATTTCATTTTACAGCTTGAGATGAAAGGGTAGAGAAAATTCCTAAAAGACATTTTTTAGAAGCTTCCGTAATCTTTGAGCCTACAGTAACTCTAGAGAGCATCCAGTTCAGTTCCATTTATTTAGTTTATTTTTTCCCCCTCAAAATACAAAAAATAGTCTGTCCATTTGTCACATAGGAGATTCAAAGACTTGATTGTCTCGTCCAAGGCCACATAGTTTGTGGCACAGCCAAGTGAAATGTGGATTGTTTTACTATTGATTAGATATTTTGTCAAGATGCCTGCATCCCTTGTCACTCATTTTACTCATTTACACATTTACACATTTATATAATGTGTACAAAACTATGCAGAGGCAACAATTTCTCTCATCTTTATTTGATATCGCAGAGATTGTAGGGACTTAATGTGAGAGTTGAATTAAACCATTCGGACCCTTACTCAGTGCTTTAGAGATTTACTAATAGAGGTCAGCCCGATGCAAGTGCTTTTGATTACAAAGTGTATTCGAGTAGAGTGAAGGATTTGTGTGCCTTGATAATGGAATCATTTTAAAATTCATGTTAACAGTGTGCCTAACTTCTCACATTATTTACTACCTGGCTGCCTACAGGAGGAGTCCTTAAAATATGTGGATTAAAGGGAAGAGGTGTGGGTTGGATCACATCTGTATAGGGGCTTATTTGCTCTATCATTGCAGGGTGGTAAAGAACATGAATGCAAATTTTAAAAAAGGAAAAATGGTCTGCTTTTGCCAGGAAGAAGGTCTGTAAACAGATCCCTATTTGATTAGGTCCTTTAAGTATTAAACGTGAATGAGATAATAACAGCTAATAGGAAGTGATTATAGCTTTTAGTAGTTTTATTAAGAGGTGATTATAATACCACTGAAGAATAGTACATTTACTTAGGGCATCTATTGATTATTAAAAAATTAACACGTTTCAGGTGATATTTTCTAGATGATTTTCCATTGGCTGAAGCGGTTTGGCCATGCCAGGCACTTGATTTCTGCCACTTTTCAGCTTCTACAGCCCAGAACTGTAATTGCAACTAACAGATTGTACCTTAACTATTTGATTTTCACATGGCCCTCTCCCTAACTACAGTGTGGATACCTCAAAGGGTGGATACCCTACTTATTCATCTTTGTACCCTGAGTACCTGGAAATGATAGGCACTCAATAAATGTTTAAAGTTAACTAGGAATAGTTACTAGTTGCCCCCAAAAATAGGTGATTCAGCTAGTACAACAATGTTGTTGCTATTATAACCATTATCTGTCTATTCCAAATTATGTCTACATACTATCCCAGCCATTAAGCATCCAAACATTCTAGGCTAAGTTATTTTAATGAATTAGAACAGCTATCTGATGTTAGTGATATTGAGAAAGGCATCACCGCACATTACGGAACTAAATGGTCTCTACTCTGTTCCAAATATGCATGTGAACCAGGGAGTCGTGCAAGCCAGGCCAGCTCTTGCTGTCTTGAAGGATGAGAGGTGGTACAGCACCTCGGAGGTGCCCTGTTGCCGGGCTAGGAGTATTGAGGGCGTCTTCCTTTCATCGGTTATAGAGACATTTTTAATTTAGGGAAACATAGTCCTGGGGAGAGGTACAGATAAGATAAGAGATAAACAGAGATAAGAAAGAGCACGAGACCAAGGACAGGGTCATGAGCTACTTATTGTTTGTTATTTGCCTGAACTCCCTCACAGAGAAAGGTCTTGGAGACATTGAGGGACAGATTCCTTAGATTACCCACTTGTCAGCAGATCAGGATGAGAAGAGTAAAACCAATAAACAAAACAATGGCTTTCTGTATTCCATATTCTTTGATTCACCTGGAAGCCATTATGTACTACTACATATGGTAATGAAAAGCTGATTTCCCCAATAATGAATGAAGTGTCCAGGCTGAGATACAGACCAGAGTCCTTGCGGGGATGAAAGACTTGATCCAGGATTGCAGCTGATGTGGAAAATTCCATCCATTTAATAAGATGTTACATATAAGTTATGTGATCTCATAAAATGTGAAGCTAGAGGTGGTATTGTAACTATTGTACTGTGTTGATTAAAATGTCTGCTTTTAAATAGGTATCGCTTAATCAAAATATATATCCTTTATAGTTGGTTCCATATTTTGGATACCATCACTCACAAATCATTTTTTAGAATGTCTTCATTTATATAGTACTACTATAGATTGGTAGCTATGTGGGGGTCAGAAAAGTGCGAACTATGATGTTTGGAAGAGACTAATGATTTAATTCTAATTACTAATTCTGAGCTTAAATCTTCAGCATAGCATAATATTTGTCAGAGATAATAGATTTCCTATGAGAACTCATTAATATAAAATGTTGTTGCAGATGTTTCTTGTGAAAATTTTGTAGCTTGATCATCTATTTTGTCTATATTTTGTAGTAAGAAACCAGATTACCTTGCTAGGTGAGTCTATCCAGGAAGTAAGTCAGGCACAGTTGGAACCATCGATAGCTTACTGTTCGGT